TCTGCCATACACTGTTCAAGCCCTAGCTCCCCACAGGTCAGATGTCTCACATCCCACAGCACTTTCATTTCTGTTAATGAAAGTTGCCACACTGCATCAGACCCAGGGAATAGCAAGCAGACTTCAAGGTAGTGACCCTCATACAGAGTGCTCCTTTAAAGAAGCACAAATAAAGAAGTAAAATTTCTGAGTGCTCTCAAGCTTTTACTCCACCTATATTGTAGAAATCTAATTTGTAAGTGACAGAGCTGTGGATAATTGGCAGCAATCACTTCTGAAAGTGCAAACTGTAACCTCTCCACCACGTATGGAAACTGAGTACAAAGACCTTTTGAACATCAAAAGCCGCAGCTTGCAGTTTTGTTTCAAGGTCTTCCAGTCTGGTCAGGTTTAAACAGAGAGAACCCTCAAGCTGGTGGTCTCAGAAATAAATCAATGCAGTTAATTAACCCACTATTATAATGAGAATTGATTAGCATAAAGAAACAAACAGTGGAGCTATCATACACACCACATTTATACTTGCTGTCCACATGTTGCACCTATTCCTCCGCTCTTTCTCCTCCAACAACCATCAGAATAATTATTCTCAAAGAGCATTAGCTACAGCTCAAGCTGCAGGCATAATTTACGCTTCCTTGGAGACCCAATTATAGGTTATAGGAAACAGTTCTGAAGACAACCTCCCACTCTACAGCTTCATATTTATATAACTAAACCCCCCATTGTTTCACTTGCCTTTTGGATCTAGCAGCTGAACAACAGCGTGAGAAGGGCTGAGGAACTTTAAATCCATTTTAAGATGACTAAATATATACATGATAAACAGTTTCCCTCTTTAGAATTACCTTTCTACTTCCCTTTTTAGAAATAATACATGTATTTGGTGTTAAGTGGATCTAATTAAAGCAAATGGGTATTCTTCAGAATTAATAGACGTGATGCATTGCATCACTTGCCTTATATGATTGCATCAAAACAAGGTTATTTGGGTCCTGGAGATATAACAGCTGTAATACCGAGGTGGCCAAACTGTACTCCACTGTAAGCCTAAATATGGTTTAAAGAACTCTGCAGATGTGCATTTCTTTTTTTTTGTTTTAACATACAGACTTAGTACAAGATAATGCACCATGTGTTGACACCTGGAGCCTCCTTAAGCCAGTACAAGATACTCCTTATGCCAAAACACCATACTGAAAATGAACCTAGAGCCAAAGGAGTCCTAGAACTCGATCTTTTTCTTGAAATAACCCCCTTTGAAGATATCCCAGAACACATTAAATGCAAGTGTGACCAACGCTTGACTGAGTTTTGACGTGCTTCGCTAACAAGCATTCACAATTAGGGATCCATGGTTATATATTGCACCTACCTTACAAGCTAAAGAAAACTGTATATTTTCAGCTGGAAATAATAAAATGCAGCAAGTGGACATCTGTCAACAGTTGAAGTCACATTTGTTCTCTTTAATAGTCTGTTTTCTCTTAGTTTTATCTGATCAGTTTGCATTTCTCTGATACATAACCCTGTTACATTTCTTGGCATTTAAGTGGGGATCTTAGACCCTATCTTGCATGTGGGAAGCTAACATAACACAAGTGTGGACAGTTTTTGACTTATGCACAGAATGTGGATAGAAATTATGCAGTCATTTTCCATTAATTTTTGCTATCCAACCTAGAGAAGCACAAAAGGGCAAAGCACATTTTTAAAACAGAATTTCAGAAAAAATAGCTCAACACACAATTCAATACAAAAACATGATACAATTAAATCTACCACTTCCCAAAGCAATTTACAAAGCTGGGCAACTACTAATCACATTTTACAAACATAAAGTGTAACTCACAGGTTAGACAAAATTACCCAATCCAGTCACAAAATGTAAATAATACCAGGGCTTAATATCAGTTAGCAGAAATCTGCAAGGTGTTCCAGTACATCTTTCCTGATCTGCCTTGTTCTCAGGGGTCTAAACTGTGACTGAGCAGTGATTACCTGCGATTTTTTTTTAAGGGAAAAAAACCCCAAACCCAACCCTTGAGCTGAGACAGTCTTGCAAAAACACAAACTTCTCACAACAACGCACCTCCACTGGTCCTCATTTAGCTACTTTTGAAATTAATATGTTGGTGATATTTAAATCACTAAAACAATTTAAATAATTGACCATCTTATGGAGAGGAAGATTTGCAGATAAATGGGAATTTATTTTGGCACCCACCTCCAATTCAGAAGGGAGGGATAAGCACAGGAACCTGGATGAATCTGGTTTTGAATATATTCAGAACTCAGTGAGAAAGAGCCAGACCCAAGAAGCCAAGGCAGCATACAAGAACCAGTTTTCTATGTTTTCACATTGTACTGTGAGTGGCAATTCACACAGGTAGGAACCTAGGGAAGTCCTCATCTGAGAGATTTCCATCTCTGGAGATAGGGGGATTTTCCCTTTCTTTTTCTTCCCAATCCCTCTCTTTAAAATTATTCCTTCCCATGCGCTAAACAGACTGGAAGCATACAACATGCAGATCTGCACAGAAGAATGCGGATTCTCCGTCACATGAAGAGAGGGAATAAAATAAGGAAAGTGACACTGGCCTGCAGAAAAAGTAAAGAAAGACTGAGAATCTTAAAGTCCCCTTCATATAAAAAGCATATGTAGGAGCCAAACTCGCAAAGATAATTTTCTTTTTCCACTCAAATTGCTTCAAAACTCTTAGTTATCACAGCTTTGAATAAATTCTGATGTGTACACAGGTTTTCCATAAAAGCTCTGGCTATCTCAGAGCTTGCATTCATGAGTCATCTTAAGCACATACAGGTATAAAAGTAAGTTTCCAACATTAACCCCCAGCAAATGTCAGGATCACTTACCTCCATCTTCTCAGCAATCTTAATACAACAACAATAAACTAGAAGAGCTTTATGTTAGTATAGTACTGTTTATAGTAAAGCATACCAAAAACCACAAATTCAAGTATGCTTTTTTTAGCAAATATCAGATTGACTTCACTTGGAAATATATTCACTTCTTCCATTCTTATATTTTGCTTAAAGAATCCATAGTGAGCAAGGAACACATTTTTCTTACTGCCAGTATTTCATGCTTACTCAGCTAAAATGGTTTAGCACTTGTATTTACAGTTTATCATTGGCACTTATATATGATCATACTTAAAGATAACACTGAAAATTGAGTTTGTGTCGTACTGCCCATAACGCAGCAATCGCTGCAGATAAGACAAGCTATGCTTAGCATCACACCATCAGAAGATTTCACAAATTTATCCTGGCTGACCCATAGTGGTTGCAGTTTCTGTCATTGACTTAAATAAGAGACACAGATGTTTTGGTTTTGCTGCTCTCCTTGCTCATTTATTAACTGAGTCTCTGCACCTGGTATCTCACTTAATTTACTGGGTCATCACTGTTCATTATTTCTTTTATCTTGCTCTTTCTCATAGAAGTTCCCTATCTACAAGAGGATGAGGAAGTAAACAGAGAAACTTCAAGAATACAGAAATAAACTAGTATTTGTTCCAATTTACTATAGACAAATAATTCCCGATCCACTTAGGAGCTTGAAGAACTATCTAATATTTTAACAACTCATGAGAACCTCTAGCTGCACTTCCTCCAAGATCACCAAGTGGTATATATTCACTTTTCCACTTGGCAAATGGAAACAAGGAGGAGAGAAGAACGGCTTAGATGTCAAACAAGAATACATAAAGAGTAATGGAGCAGTTGTTTTCAACAGCATTTTATTATAAAGTAGGTCCATCAGACTTTAAGCCCACTTAAAGGCATTAAAAATTTTAAGGAGACATTTACTTGAAATGACTGCTTTGCTCTCTGTCTTCTCCTACCTTTATATCTTTTTCTGTCTGTACCCTATGCATGAATAGCCTTTCTCCTTTGCCATTAAGTTGTTCCCTTTTCCTTTATCTTTTGTGTTTTGCTAGCCTTTCAACAGCAATCTCCTAACACTGTTTCCATTTGTTCTCAAACCTGAAGTTGTCTAACTTAGGTTATCTTGTCAATTCAGATTACCATCACCTCAGGGAAGGTATCTTCTCTTCCTCCATGTTTCTAAAATCTGCTATGGAAGAGATAATAAATGATGCCTCTTCTTCATCTGAAGTTCAAAGCCTGTGAAACTACAAGTAATCTACATGCCTTTGCTCTTCTTATAAATTAGTAATGAGTCTGGAATGCTTCCCCATGGCAATTAAGACTCATTCAGTTAAAACGACTGTATTCTGTGATCTAAGTCCTGTCTTATTCAAAAAAAGTTACATATTTTCTATTAACATCACTAGCAAAAACTGTACAAATAACTTCAGGATGTCAAAAGCCACCGTCACAAAATGCTTCTCGTCCTCACTAGTTTACTCAGCTTGTTAGGGTGAGTTACAGTATAGCCTACAGTCAGAAGGGTTCAGATAGAGAGAAACCACATTTACAATGAGATAAAAGGAAGAGTTTCAGTGCACCACAGCACACATATTCTAATAACAATTATTATGACCTCTGTTAGGAACAAAGAACCGGATGTTTTTGTGTTGGGGGGGCAGGCGTGGAAGGGGGCGAGAAGGAAGAATAAAACTATCACCACAACCAGTACCACAGAAAGGTCCAACATGTCCAGAAGATTGGATAAAGATGTAGCCTAGAAACTACCTTGTAGCATTTATTCATTTATTAAGCTAAGCAAATCAAATACTCATAACGTCACATTTGGTAACTGAAACTTAGCCCATTCTGGAAAATATTAAATGTTGCCTGGCTGAAATTTCTCGTCAGAACATTGCTGTTGGATGAAAAACATAATGGAGGCTTGTTCCCAATCCACCCTCTGCTCATACAAATCTTGAGTCTTCTAGTTTATTCTTTTAAAGTAGTGCTGTAAAGGAATAGCTACAGAAAGTACTTCTCAATCCATTTTTATAATCCTGTAATACAAAGAGCACAAGCCAGAGATTCTTAAATATTACCTTCGTATAGGACTTCATACTCAGTGGGAATACAGCTATATCCTTGAATCAGATCCGGAAGACAGTCCTTACAGAAGGAATGAAGGCAAGGTAGTATTCTGGGGTTTCTCCTCCGCAGATCCCATTTGCACACCAAACAATTCCTCAACAGGTCCAGGGTCTCCATTTCTGTTGGCTGAAGTCTGACATCGAAAACACAAAGAGTCACAAAATGGCTCATGACCACCCCTTCACTTAACAAACCACTTGATTACACAAGCGCAAACTAGAAGGCAACAGCGGGATGCGCGTTCTCAGAAACAACATTTATTTAGTCCTTGTGAAGAAAGAGGAAGTTCCTTGCAGCTGAAAATCACGTACCTGCTTTACAAAAAAGAATATCTTTGCAGATTGTTGTGCAGGAAAGTGTGGTTTAAGGTTTACAAACCATGATCCCACTATCTCTCTATAGTACTTGCAACTTCTGTAAAAACTGAAGTAATCTGTTCTATTGATCTACTTACAAAGCCGTTACCAGGCTGAATTGTCACATGCCGTACATTTCCTGCTAGAAGCACTGAAACTGTGCGATAAAAATGACGATATTCTCTGACTGTTCTTACAATTTCACCTCAATATTCTACAGTTTTCAGGTAAAGCAAATAATAAGCATAACTGATCATACATCCATCATTTCAGCAGTGCATGTTAGAAAGCTGCCTTGATAAATGTACAGCATCTTCTGCCAATCTTCTTTATAGAACTTTAATAAAATGCACTTTGCAGTAATCAAATTTCAACTGTCAGGATGACCACAGATCAAATTATAGACCAAACCTGAGCTTCCCACAAGCAGGACAGTGTTCCTCCTGCCAACCTAACCTCCCCAAGGTAAATTGAGAGTTTTGCAGTTCATGTTCCATCCTTGATTCCAAGATTTGAGAGATGTTGAGCAGATACAGCCTGCAAAGGGAAACTTTTGCAAGTTGCATCAGAGGAGGAAAAGCAAATACAGTCTCGTCCCCCCTGGAATCACCCTTCCAGCTGACCGAACCTCCTGGGGCCAGAGCCCCATGTAGCTGCCCACTGCCTTGGCATGGTGGCCTTGCTATCAACAGTACATAATCTGTAGCTACGATCTTCAGATTTCCCCAGCACAGAAAAGCAGCAGCTCTAATCTTAGGACTATGTATACTCTTGAGGGATTCTGCCTCGGGGCAGATTCCAGTTGAAATGGTTAGTAAAGCAGGTCCTCTTTTTTTTTATTTTTTCCTACAGTGCAGAAAAATTGTGAATATCTCAGAAATTCACAAACAGAAATTTTTTAAGTGTTGCATTCTGAAGTCATTGCTATTTAAAATATTTTAGAAAAAAAGGACCATATGTTAAAGTCTGCTTCATATGTCATACCCAAGACCCATTCTAGGAACAAATGAAAATAGGTAGTATCCACCAATTTTACTGAATTCACTTAGACAAATCCAGACCTACCACTAAAACTTATGATTGTAATTTCAAAACTAGAGGTCCCTTTAGAAGTGAGCTGTAGTAATTGTACCTGTGGTTTAACTAATAATCATTATATCAGTGCTTATTATATGAGCTCACTTTTTACAGTGCATCTTCATCAACCATCCGAGGCAAATGTCATTAGGGCAGCACAGCTTCTCAGCTCACTCCATCTCTATTGTTTCTTGCAGCTACTGTTGCTAAGACAAACCAGCACCTACAAAAACATGTAATTTCTGCAGTAGGAAGTTGAGGTCTTAGACTACCACATTGTTTAGACAGAGAAACCACAGCCCAGGACCAAAGCATCCACGCACAGAGAATCAGTGCAAAAAAAGCCTGATACTGGAAATGCTGTATCACCATAAAGGCCAAACATGTGGCTGAATGAGAAGTGGGTTACCATACATTTTAATTTATGCTTTTTGCATAAGATGTGAAACTATGTACAAGTTTTTTGGAAGGAGGGGGAAGGATGAGGGTGATAAAAAGGGTTTAAAACTTACTGCTGAG